TTTGCTTACTTACACGAAATTGTACTTGTGACCTTTTGGCTACTGTTGCTTTTCGTGTGCGTGTGTTCATATAGGCAATATATCTACTTATTAAGCTGCTCGCCCGTCGTAGACTCAAACAATCTCAAGCGTGGGAAGACGAGAATAACAAAGTCCTCCTTGAATCTGCTTCGCCTTGAAATTTCACTACATGGAACTCTATCTCTTTCTCTCTCTCTCTCTCTCTCTCTCTCTCTCACTCAAAGAGGCGCGTGTAAATAGTAATACTCGCCCGCGCGACCAAGCATCCTTTTATTGAATCAATCATTTCTTCTTTTCCTCGGAGGGTCTTCATTAATTAAATTAAAGTAGCATATCATATGAGCGCGTGCACAAGCCGTGCCCATAACGGGCAAAGATTGCCAACGGATAAACTTAATGAAACCTGAAAATCTCAGCCTACTTGCTTGCGTAGGAATAAAATACAACACTCGTGTACCTATATGTGCTGCCGCAAAAGTTGGTGTGCATGCATCTTGGCCCTCGTACCAAGGTTATTGGGTTACTTTTTGCACATATGAGGAGGAAAGAGGAGGCTGGTGTACGTACTTACTTGTGTTAACACTAAGCAACAATGACACCTCGGCCTGCTTGCTTTGGTGGAAAAAAAAATCAGCCAACATGCTACTTCTTCCGCTCTTTTTCTCTTTGAATGTATTCCGCGGATAATAGCAGAAAGCTGGGGCATAGGTACTGGCTATAAATGGATTCTCGGCTCTCACATGTCCGAATTCATTTAATATAAATTCTCAGATGCCTCTCTCGAGCGATCCAATTACCAAGTCACGTGCATTATTTATGCAGTAGACGCTGCACATGACGCGCCTCTCGATTCGAAAATACTCTTGGTAACATATACTTACTTTCTTTGTATGAAAAAGTTGCAGCTCTTTCTCCTCCTTTGCTGGGCTTCCGACCATACATATTGAATCCTCAAGATGCACATACACATATTATATTATGTTACGTGAGTCTAATTTAAACTATTAATATATAGTATAATTCGAGGTAAACCATGGCCTAGAGCCAAAATATTGAGCAAATACTTTTTTAGTTATATTTTTCGATAAACTCCGTACATACGTGAGGTTTTTCATCCAATAAATAATCACAAATTTATTCTACTGCCCCTTCTTCCAATATCCCGAGTAACTTGATATATGTATATATACTAGATAAGGAAACGCGATACACATACGTACATATATCCAAGACTTCTTACCACCCAAGCAGTTGCAGACAAGTTTTTCGCGAGCTAATGCAATTTTATTGTGAAGCAAGTGCAACGGTCCGAGTCCCTCGACACGGAGTATATATATTATATCATTCCATTTGGCATGGAAAAAAGACAAAGAGGAGCATGCGAATTGTCGGTAGTCCACCGGTGATCTTCTCAAGGCCGTATGAGATGATTTTACTAATTTTTATTCTCTTTTCCTCAAATCGACAGGTATATATCATTATCCTAAAAGTTCGCTACGATGGATGTTGGAACCATTTGTTTGCTGCCTCGAGCAGTTTTTTATCATTATTTGAAAGAGAAAAAAAAAACGTGTAGGTGTGCGGAAATAAACATCTGCGAGTCGTGTACATATATATATATATATATATATAATATCATCAATCACTGTAATCAATATCGCACAAATTCAAATAAGTAATTGTATTACTAGTACGTACAGAGAGGTTTCTCTCATTCTTATCTTTTTTATTTTAATTACATCTGCACGATTTTACATCAGCCCTTTTTTTTTTTTTTTTTTTTTTTTTTTTTTTTTTTTTTTT